TCATAGTATCATATGTACCTAAGAAGAATAAATCGGTTATACTGGTTTCAACCACGCACCATGCGGCAAATGTAGAAGAAGCCTGAGATCATTAATTTTTATAATTCTACAAAGGGTGGAGTGGACGCTCTAGATCAACACTGCGCGACTTATTCTTGTCAAAGAAGAACTAAAAGGAGGCCTATGGCTGTATTTGGTGCTATTATTGACATTGCAAATCCCAAGCAAATATCAAAACATCACGACGTAAATTCACAATTGATCTTGCCAAATCGTTGATTCATGATCATGTAAAACGTAGACTTGAAGCAAAAGAACTAACTAGGGATCTGAGGTGTATAATTAAAAATATACTGGACGATGGTGTACCTAACAGAAGCCAACTCGAACTTCCAAATCAACCCGCACCTGTAAACCGTGGATGTTCCAGTTCTTATGGCCGTTGCTATATGTGTTCTAGGAAACAAGACCGCAAAATCAAAACAACATGTCAAATATGCAAGAAGAATGTTTGTAAAAACCATTCCAATAGTTTTGTGCACTGTAACAATTGTAACGAAAAGAGGTAGTGTACCTAATATTCGATTTTTCGTTGCTTTTTTCCAGTTCAGACATGCTCGTTTTTTTTTGTTTTTTATGTTAACCTTATTTTTTTGCTACAAAGACTAGGGTACATGTTCCTAAACTCATATGCAATACATGATAAAACAATATTTTCAGTTTATTATGTAGTATTTTTATATTAAAGAAGGTAACGATTTATTTCGTTTCTATTTATATGAAGTTATTAAAGTTTATTTATTTCGATCCCTTGTAATGACAATAAATTTTATGTTGCTTATAATGTTTCTATATACATCGAAAATAGTTATTTATATTACAAGTGGGCTAGAAACATAATTACAGTACAAGTGTGGAGAATTGCACGACGAGGTCATAGACCGAGTCGTGTAATCACACGAGTACTGTAATTATGCTCTAGCCCACGTGTGATATACAGCATTTTATCTACGACTGCTAAAAATTACTAAAAAATCAATTTCTTTAGAAAAGTCTATTTGACATATATAAAAATATTTTGAAATGATTGTTGACAATTTTGAATTGTCAGTTTCAACATGTTTACTCATCAGGAATAAGTGTTTTGAAATGTAAAAACATAACGATTAATGTTTATAATAAATAGTATTGTTTCTCTGTAAGTAGATAGCACTTTTTCTTTTGTATTGTTGCTCGTTTCAATAAATTAAGTCTGTTCTGATTAGGCTAAAAATGCGTTACGCAATGAAACCACTGCGGTAATGAACTTCATTACGTAACTCAAATCACCTCAAATGAGTGCGGTAATGATGACTTATCCAAGCAATCGTAGATAAAAAAATGTATTACTGATTTTTCAAACTTATCTCAGCATAAATAATGCGTCGGATATGTTCAAACCATTAAATCGCACGAACTTTATATTCTAACTATAGAAGTTAACTAATTATTGCCATTTTTATGTAAAAATTATGCTTTTCCTAAATTAAAAATTTCATCAAGTTCAATTTACGATATGTAACCATAGAAACCAATAAAATAAAATAAAAGTTACAACTTATGTTAGTGAAAAATATACGGACAAATCAAATTAAAATATGGCTAATTGAATAAAATATTTTGTCCACGACTACCTTATAATATACAGGCTGTATCTGAATGACGTTCCCAAACTTCAGGGGGTGATTCTTTAGGCAATTTTAAGGGTACTTTCTCATATAAACTATCAGCGATTTCGACTCCCCTGCGGAGCTACCCCCCTTCAAAAATGGCGAAAAATTTTGGTTTATTTTATTTTTCCCGAAAACCATTAACACCAAGAAAATGAAATTTTGGAAGTATGCTTAGCTTATAATAGGGCATGTTTCGAGCCTATTTGTACTTTCAATCTTTTCTTCTAAGTTACTAAACATAACCACCCCCGTTCAATTTTTGTCTAGATCTTTTTTATGACGGTGATAAATACATTGCAAATATTTTATTTAGATAGACGAAAATATTCTAAAACTTTTTTGCCTCTCTGATGTTCTTCGAAAAGTTAATAGTTTCTGAGAAAAAAATTAATTAAGCAAACACTAACTGTTAAGCTGTAGCGTTGTTAATCGAAAGTTGGAATGAATTTTTAAAGAAAAAATCTTAGCAGGCTTAGCAATCTTTGTCAGAAATATTTTTGACGTTTAAATGTCAGTGGTTTTCTTACTATTATTATTGTTTTATTTAAAATTTTGAAACGTCGAGTGAACGAGCGTAAATGCGGTAGAACTTTATTCATAAATTAATTTGAAAAACAATAATAATAGTAAGAAAACCACTGACATTTAAACGTCAAAAATATTTCTGACAAAGATTGCAAAGCCTACTAAGATTTTTTCATTAAAAATTCATTCCAACTTTCGATTAACAACCCTACAGCTTAACAGTTAGTGTTTGCTTAATTATTTTTTTTCTCAGAAATTATTAAATTTTCGAAGAACATCAGAGAGACAAAAAAGTTTTAGAATAGTTTTATCTATCTAACTGAAATTTTTCCAATGTATTTATCATCTTCATAAAAAAAATCTAGGCATAAATTGAACGGGGGTGGTTACGTTTAGTAGTTTAGAAGGGTAGGTTGAAAGTACAAATAGGGTCAAAACGTGCCCTATTATGAGTTAAACATATTCCCCAAATTTCATTTTCCTAGCGTTTATGGTTTTTGAGAAAAAAAAATTAAACCAAAATTTTCCGCCATTTTTGGAGGGGTGTAGCTCCTTAGGGGAGCCCAAGTCGCCCATGGTTTATATATCAAAGTACCCTTAAAATTGCCTAAAGAATCACCCCCTGAAGTTTGGGCATGTCATTCAGATACACCCTGTATACCTTATGAATGAGTTTTCTAAAACAAAATGGTAGTCATTTTTCACGGAGTGAAAAATCATTGAATCATTATCCACGGGTAGCCATCTTGATCAGACTAATAATAATTATTTGAAACGTTATAAGTTCAAAAAACGTCAATTTAATTCAATTTTTTAGGAGTTTCTAAATGTTTGACATTAAAAAACCTAAACAAATTCCTTTTTTCGTATGATTTAAGCATAAATTAATTAATTTTCGTAAAGAAAACTACGTTTTATAAAACTGATATTTAATTTTGACAAATTGTTGTGAAGTTGGTTACAGTTAGTAACATTGAATTGGGTCACATTGACGTTTAACCTTTATTCAAAAAATTAATTTATGGAATCAATTTCGATAGTCATGGACAAAGTATAGTAACTATACTATTATCTACAACTATTGAATTATCTATTCGTTATACATTTGATTTTTGACGGGTAATGACACCCATTAGTCATGACTGACAAAGTGTTGAATAATGAAGCCATTATTCCACAGTTCTGACACGGCCTACTAATCAAAAAAATAAAATATTAACAGAAATGACAGCTTTCTTATATTGAGGTTATGTCTGAAATGTCTATCAAGTTTTTTTTCCTTTTTTTGACACCAGTGTTGTTAAATATCCGGGTATTTATTTTCAACAGAAAATTTCCTGGATATATACCCGGGGGTATTTACCCAAGATGGATATTTAGAGGTATTTATAAAATTTGGTTTAAATTGAGTTGATGGCAGTTTTGCAAGTACTTCAAGAATGCAGAGTCGATTATCGGTACACCGAATTTATTTATAACATTTACAAGAATACTACAACGACGGTATAATTGCATGAAAGTACTGACCGAATACCCATTGGGCGTGGAGTAAGACAAGGCGATACAATGTTGAACCCAAATTGTTCATCACATTCCTGAAGAGTGCATTTAAACAACTCGATTGGACGATTCACTATTACCTATTATTTTTCCTGTTCCATTTCAGCATAGAGCTGTGTGCGATTTGTGCTTTTGTCTTAACTGTCTAACAAATTTATACACATACCTGGTGTTATTAGCTTTAAAGTGTAAGCGAATATTTCGGAAAAGTTTATATTTTCACTACCGACTATTCTCGTTTACGTAATATTCTTCGAAAATATTTAACAATTTCTTTAATGCTTGAAAAACAACTTTGAATGCACTTCCATCAAATCCAAGATCCCAAGATCCATGAGATTGTTGATTTCCAATTGAAAAATAAGTAGTTCGTTTAAGATCTTATTATTCTTCTTCTTTTATTCAGGTCGTAACCTGTTTTTACGCATCATGCATGGTGTTTCATTAGAGCTGGAAATCCAACTTCCTGGTCTCCCGGGATCTCTTTCTAGCTAATCTTTGATCTCTTGCTAATTTAATCAGCCAGGTTTCTTCCATTTTTTTGAAGTATTCATTAAATTTCTTTATTTTTCCCCTAGCAAATCTCATGGCATCTCCGAATCCACAAAATTCTCTTACAATTTTGTTCCCACCTCTATCTCTTCTTGTCTTTTTCACTAAAGTACTCATCTCAGTTGGTTCGCATCGCAGCCATATAACTTGGCCATGAAGTTCGTGTATCTAGAGATAATAATCAAACAAGCGAAGTAAACAGAAGGGTGATACTCGCATGGGCAGCCTACGGGAAACTTAGAGACACCTTCATGAGCGATATTCCTGTATATTTGAAAAGAAAGGCTTTCAATCAATGCGTGCTTCCTCCTTTGGTTATGGCATACGGTTCCGAAACAAAGGAGGCTCAAAGTAACGCAAAGAAAGAAAGAAATGAAGACCTACGAAGAAGAACTGACGTAAATGATGTGGTCAACATTATGGCAAAGCTCAAGTGGAACTGGGCGGATCATCGTCGCAAGAATGAAGGATGAGCAGTGGTTGCCTGATTATAATACGTCTTCGATCGTTGACAATTCCTCGTCTTCAACGCCCATTTCATCATGTTCCTCTACATTTTTTTCCGAATCTGTTATATTTTTACTTGTATCACTTTTATATGTACTGTTTGGGTATTTACCCTGGGCCAAGGTAAATACCCAGATAAATACCCATTTTATAACCTACCCGCCGAGTATTTTCCAAGCGCCCATCACCGAATAACACACTATGTAAGTAATAAATATTATTTATTTGTAAGTGAACAAATTCCCTCCCAATTCGGCACACATTTGAAGACGAGTTCTAAATTCTTTATAAGAAGTACGAATTTCCGCCAGTAGTAGAGATTCTATCGCTTTTATTATTCTTAGTTTTAATAGTGCATCATCTTGTAATGGTTCACTGTAAACAATTTGTTTCAATCGTCCCCAAAAATAAAAATCCATAATTGTAAGATCAGGACTACGTGCTGGCCATCAAATAGGACCATTTCGTTCAATCCATTTTTGACGAAATAGTAAATTTAACCATTTGGCACAATGTGTGAATGGTAAGCTGGGCAACTGTCTTGCTGAAAGTACATTGACCGTATACAATTTAAGGGTAATTGGATTTAATCGCTCCAATAATGAGCTGGGAAGAAACAATGTCATTTGTTGAAAAGCTATCTGAAAAGCAGCGTCTTCCTCATTTAGTCTCTTTGTCTGTCTCTTTATGGCTAATACAGAACCCTTAACCAAATTTATTTTCATCAGTTTGCGAGCCCCACATGAGATTCTTGTGTCCGAATATTTTTGCTGGAATTTTTGTATAACTACACGAAAACATGATTCACTAGTACCATAGCACAGTACTAAATAAATTCTCTCTTTCACGGTTAACATCGCATGAAAAGGCTTAATCTCACCAACATAAGTTGTAAGTTTTATGGCTTCTATGGTTACATATCGCTCCCAATATATGCTCTAAAACAGAAACCGCTACCGATGAAAATCCTATTAATGAGAATGAATCATTTAACGCTGAAGCCCAAAGTCAGAGCTTTTCTCTTGTTGAAATTTCCAATTCTTCTTCTATAAGTAAGGCTTCAAACGAACATTACGTGGCCGAAAGGAAAAGTACCTCAAAATTGATGTTAAGGAAAATAAACCAGAGTTACAAGGTATACTGCGATTCTGAAGACGAACCATTTTCTGCAGGATCAGGTGATGATTACAACCCTAATGATGGTAATAATAGTGATTCGTGTTCTTCAAGTGAAAGATCAATAAATCTCGAAAATATTGATAAGAATAATGCTGATGATAATGAAGAAGAATCTATGTATTCCCCAGTCAAGGAAGAAAAAAGAAGAATTAAAAATGTGAACAATTGGAAACAAGTGAAAGCAAAACGTTTCAGAAACTCAGGTCAACAATACACTTCTTTAAAAACTGGAAAAATTGTCAAAGCTAAGTCCATGAAACCTGCTTGCTCCGATAAATGCATTCGTTCTTGTTCACAAAACATCTCTGAGGATTGTAGAAATCAACTGTTTAAAAAATACTGGGACTTAGGAAACTTGCAACGCCAGCGAGATTTTCTTGGCTCATGTATCGAAAAACTGATCAGAGTATGTAAGACGTTTTTGACGAACACTTTTGGGATTTCGGAAAAATTGATTAGAACTGTGATTAAATCAAAAGTATCTGAGCAGGGATTTATACCAGAAGATCGGGGAGGAAAGCATGGAAATCATAAGAGAATTGACGAAGAGGTAGTGAAATCAGTATTCGATCACATAAATTCTATACCACGCATTGAGAGCCACTACGTCCGTAAAGATGCAACTAGAGAATTCATAGACGGTGGATTAACAATTGCGGAAATGCACAGGAATTATTGTGAGAAAAAATCTGCTTCGAATCAACCATCAGTGTCATACGATTATTATTACTATCTTCAACACAAAATTCAATATCGGATTCTTCGTTCTGAAAAAAGATCAATGCGATCTTTGTGAAAGTTATAAAAATACACCAGACAATGAGAAAATGGAACTGAAACAAAAGTATGAAGAACACTTAGAAGAAAAGGAGCTTAGTCGAAAAGAGAAAGAAAGTGACAAAAGAAGAACACAAGATGACGAAATTACATTGGCTGTTTATGATTTACAGGCAGTGTTGCCTGTACCTGTAGGACAATCATCAGCATTCTTCTATAAATCTAGATTAAATTGCTATAATTTCACGGTAAGTTATAATTATTTTCCTGAATTAGTTGTTCATAATATTATTTTTTTTGTTAGATAACGGAATTAGCCAAAGATACAACAAAGGCATTCTTTTGGCATGAAGTATTTGGAAATAAAGGAGCGATAGAAATAGAAACCTGCACTTTAATGTATTTGGAAGAACTATCAAAAAGCCACCCAGGATCGGATGTAGTGTTTTTTTCAGATAACTGCATGAGGCAACAAAAGAATAGGTATAAGAAGACATAATTATGAAATTTCCAAACATGTTTATTATCTCCGAATGTTTTAGATTTCTTATTGCAACCTATATCTACGTAGTAGAAAAGTTTCAAATTAGTTCAATAACACACAAATTTTTAATACGTGGACACACCCAGAACGAAGCTGATGCAATCCACAGCGTTATCGAGAAAAGAATTTTGTTGGCCAAGAAATCTGGGCCCATTTATATTCCTGAACAGTATATTTCTATTATTCGTGGGGCTAAGAAAAAAGGAAACAAAATTAAAGAACTGGGCTTTGAAAGTTTTCTTGACGTCAATTTATTAGCAGTTGATATCGGTCTCAACATTAACAAAAATACTGACGGAGATTAATTTAAAATTAATGTAGTTAAAATTCTACAATTTAAAAAAGGAGAAGACGAGTTTTGTTACAAAACGAGCTACAAACAAACAGAGTGGTATCGATTAAATTTCAGACAAAGAATAAGATCAAAAAAAAAACGTGAGAGATGTAATTATCAAAAAAGCTTACAGCAAGCCATTTCAGCTATCTGAAAATAAGAAAAAAGATTTACTAAGTTTATTGAATGCTAACCTTATTCCGGCATTTTATAAACCGTATTTTAAAAGTATTTTGCAGTAATTAAAAGCAACCATTTGCTTTGTTTGAAGTTTATGTAGCCACAGTACGGTGTTTAGATTTTATTGCTTTTGTGGTGACGTATTAGGTACCTTTCGTGCCATATTATTAGATCTTAATTTTTCTCTTAATTTAGAGCACCCCATTCAGTTTGTATTTTCGAAACTTTAATAAAAAGACTAAAATGTACCAGATTTAAAATAATTTTTTCAGGTAAAGCAAAGGCGTAACTTGAAATTTCACTTTTAATTTTAATTGTAGAAAAACTATAATTACGTCATGCTATACTACTAGGGATGCAAACGATACATCGATTTTTCGATAACATCGATGTATCGTCCATAAACATCGATGTTTTAACATCGATGTTGAAGTCTATAAAACATCGATACATCGTTCATTATGAACAATATTTTATCTTCGATGTTTGATAAAATAATCGACCATTATTTCCATGTTTGTATAAAAGAGCAATGAAATATTTGCCACTCTTAGCAACTTCGGTGTCCAACGAGTGATTATTCTCAGAAGTTGGCGCCACAATTAATCAGAAAAGGAATCGCTTATTAGGCACCAGGTTGTCCAAGTTAATGTTTTTGAATTATATACTTAAAAATAAATTTAAATAACATTATCTGTGTTTTATCATATTATAATAAATGGACCGCGTTATACATCACTTGACTAAGCGACATTTTATCGTTTTTAAAGATTTTCATGCTGTCTGGTAGGTAAAGGTGTAATTTATCTTAGAAAAAATATAGAATACCGAGAGACCTAAAATACTATTTGTTTTAAAGGATAAAGCTAAGCGCCAATCATGTTATACGATTTCAAGTCCGATTTGCATCATACGTCTAAGAACCGACTTACCATTAGATACGACACTTAGATACACCAAGAAATTCTACAATAGAAAAAATAGATGAACCTACAATTTCCAGTCAGTGTCGTTTTCTAGATGTTAGTATAAAATTGAAAGTTTATGTCTTTTATTTTATATAGAATTTAAATTTAACTAGTTTCGGCCCTTGGCCATCTTCAGAGACTCCGCAAATAGATTAACATCTCTCATCTTATCCATTTTACAAACGACACGGGAGGTAGCGCTAGTTAGCATAAGATATCACTGTTGCACATTTTTGTTGCACTAAAACTAGAACTAATACTAGACCGAATATTTCTAGTTCTAGGGCTTGTATTAGTTCTAGTTTTACACTAGCACTATCACTAGAACTAACACAAGATCTAGAATTAGAATCATTCGGGTTTAACCGTCTTGCGAGACGTGGGACTAAATCCGAATGTTTCTAGTTCTCCGTGTAGTGTTAGTTCTAGTGGCAGTGGTAGGTAGCGCTAGTTAGCATAAGATATTACTATGTTGTATATTTTTATTGAACTAAAACTAGAACGAGAACTAGAAACATTCTGGTTTAGTCGTGAAAAAAACTTTCAGTTGTCAATGTCAACTTTAATTTTATTATTACCTTTAAAGTGAGTCCAAACTTGACACATTTATCTCAAAAAGCCAAAAATTCGAACTTGCAACTTTTAATTTTAATATATTTGTCAACTTCATAAAAAATCCTTTAAAATGAGTCTAAACTCGACATATTTAACTTTAATATTAATGGAAATACAATCACTTCCGGTTTGAAACGTCAACGTCAATTTTGACATATTTGTCATTTTCATTAAAAAACCTTTAAAATGAGCCCAAAGATGACGCACTTATCTCAAAAAACAAAAAAGTTTGAATAAAAAACATTAAACCCTAAGTTAGCAACAATGAAGATAACAATTTTTTATTTTTTTTTATTATACTTTCGTTTTTGTGACAAATATTAAGACATTTTATAAAAATTATGAATACATGACATTGACATTTCAAAGCGGAAGTGTTTGGACTCATTTTAAAGGATTTTTCACGACGATTACAAATATGTCAAAGCTGACGTTGACATTCTTAACCGGAAGTTGACCATAACTTCATTAATATTGAAGATAAATATGTCGTGTTTGCACCCATTTTAAAGGATTTTTAATGAAGATTACAAATATGTCAAAAGTGAGGTTGGCATTTTAAACCTGAAGTTGTCATGTAATAGATGTTTTACAATAATTGAAGTTAATCTAGTGTTAGTCGCTTTTCCGCACTTTCTTTATATTTTTAACGTGTTTTTTGGGTTATTTCACATTGATTAAAAAAAATCGTCGATTTTTAAGCCACATGATGAGTCTTGAATTTTTCCCAAGTTTCTTAATATTTCTTTTGTTAAAAAAGAGCGTTCTTTATCTTATTCTGAATTTTAATCTGTAAACTTGCAACGATTCGTCCTTAATTTCATTTTACAACTTTTTAAACATTAATTTTGTAAATTAGTAATTAATAATCTGATTTCGACATTGATATGTGATCTTTTTAACAAAACAAAAAGAAATATTAAGAAACTTGTTTGTGAAATGGATAAGGTGAGAGATGTTAATCTATTTGTAGAGTTTCTGAAGATGGCCAAGGGCCGAAACTGGTTAGACTTAAATTCTATGTATATAAAATAAAAACCAGTTTAAAAGTATGAAATCAAACTCTAGGTTATTTTCTTCAAAAATTTTTACACAAATCGTCATCATTTTGTCTCTAGTTTTAGTGATTAAATTTATGATAATAAAGGTGCAGAACGCGGTCCAAATATTATTGATTATTATGATCATTCTTATAATAAAAATTCAACCACTCAATATTTTTTTTAAACATCGATGTATCGGTATAAAACGTCGATGTTTTCGAAATCGATGTTTCACTTTTGGAAAACATCGATGTTCTAATATCGTTTTTTTTATGGGCGATGTTGCATCCCTATATACTACGCATCGTATATACTTTGATACCAATTATTGATGACAATTAGAAAATTAAACTGTTAAAAACACACAAATTAAATGCGTCTCCTGTAAAATTTACGGATTTCCAGTTACGTCCATATTCTTCTGGGACAGCGATATCATAAATTGAACTTCAATTTCAATTTTCAATTTAGAAAAAAGTCCAATTTTTACATAAAAATTGGAATAATCAATTAATTTTTATAGTTAGTGTATAAAATTCATGCGATTTAGTAGCTTGATCATATCCGACGCATTATTTATGCTGAGATAAGTTTGAAAAATCTGTAACAAAAATTTTTTTCCTCTTTGTAACTCGATCCGGGGACATACTGTATATTGGAGTGTTTAAACACACCACTATAGTATTTACGTGTATTAAAACAACGATAGTACCTACGGGTTATTATGATTTTATCGCCTATATCCGTTACTTTACGGACACACTGTATACAGTAACGGATAAATTCGATAAAATCATTACGAACAATTTATGAAAAGATCGCTGAAACGGGTCTAAAGATTTAAATTTTTTGGTGTATATCTTAAATTTTAATTGTATTATTTATTTAAATTAATTATTATTACTATTGTAGTTGAGATACAAAAGTAGCAATAGCTTGTTGCATCAAACGCATTAAAAAAAAACGCAAACAGAAAATAAGATATCAAAAATTAAACATTTTTTTGTGTTCAAAAAATGTTCAAATTGCTGCCCGTTAGCGGCAAGGCAATATCTTAATCGGGAGACAAATGCTTCTTGAACGTTTTGAATCATATCCAGGCCGATTAATTGAATTTCTTCTCTAATTATTTGCTTCAGATCTTCTAGGTTATCAGGCTTATTAAAATAAACTTTAGATTTTAAATAACCCCAAAGAAAATAATCTAAAGGGCCATTCAATATGTCCGCGTCTGCCAATCCACCGGTTGGGAAATTTTTGGTTAAGGTATTCTCGTACAACTAGAGCATAATGAGGAGGCGCGCAATCTTGCTGTAGCCAAATTCTGATATGTAGTGAATTTGGATCTTCTGCATTTGGAAAAATTGCAAGTAAACTTGGAATTAATTCTAATTGAAGGCCGCCTACAGTTCCGTTAAAGAAATACGGTCCAATAATTCTGTTCTCCCCACATTCATCTTTTGGGGATACTGTGTATTTGCCTCGGCTTTCCAATGGGGATTTTCTACTGCCCAATAACGGCAGTTTTGCTTATGGACGGTGCCATTTAAACAAAATGTTGCTTCATCGGAGAATAGAATGTTTTTAATAAATTCCGGATTCGCAGAATTGCACGCGTCGATCAAAATCGTCATCGGAAAACTCATGCACCAAATGTATTTTGTAGGGGTGATCTCGATATTGTGCGTGTTTCTAGATGTATTTAAATTTTGCAGCAATATTGGAGATGTTTGAATACGGATTTTCCTCTACACTTAACAGGACATCCAATTGACGGTCTTCATTTAAGGCCAATGGACGCCCGGTCTTAGGTTTATCTCGTACATGACCAAGTTCGCGAAATTTACTCTCAATTCGACTTATTGTCGATAGTGATATTGGAGTACGGTTTGGATGTTTTTCGTTAAACAACGCACGGACTTCGTTATACATACGTTCGGACTCTATTTCCGAAACCAATCATCATAAGAATCTCGATTCTTTCAGTTTCAGTAAGCGTCATTATTAATTTCTTACTTATCGAACAGTCAATAAATAAAAAATAACCGATAATAGATAAACAATAAGATCAAATAACAACAAAAAAGTAACAACGAATAGCGATGAATAGCAACAAATAACAACGAATAACAATAAATAACAACAATTAACACAAGAAACTCCACAATGCTACTCAAAATAATCTCATTAACGCACAATACACTGTTTCAAATCAAATTTTGACACTCGGAAATTTTAAATCAAAACAATTGGTTGCCATGGTTACGCACTGCTACTGCTATTTTTTATATCAAATGAATGGGAAATAATGAAACTTTAAATTAATTTTTCTCGAAAATTTTCTTTTATAACCGATATTAATATTTATTGTACATAATTCAGAAAATAATTCTCTTTCAAATTCCGATATAAAAAATGGGGTGTTCCATTTAAAAAAAACTTCGATGACGCCATAACTCGTTTAAAAATGGCGGAAAAAATTTAAGATACCGTATTTTCTCGAATCTTATCCGCACTCGAATCTAAACCGCACCCCGATTTTTAAAATGCATAGTGGTAAAAAAATTTAGTTTGCGAATGTAATCAGCATCTTTCTCTGAGCAATTCGACAACACCAAAACGATGCGATGCTTGTTGTTAACTATAAATATATATTTTTTCCGTTGCCTGACGCTGATGCAATTAAAGAAACCTTGTTCAAGACCAGTTTTTATTGGACTAAACTTAAAATTGACCAAGCCAGAAAAAATTGGAAAATAAATATAATTTTAAAAATAAATAGTAATGCCTAGCACGAATTCAATTCATATACCGCCCTCGTAGTAGCTCGAACGTGGTGTGTGTTTAATTATACATATAACAGAGTAATTATGGAAAAAAAGTAGCACTAATCGAAGAGGTTCTTCTATACAGCGAAGTCTAAAGAGATGTTATTAAGTTAGCGTTAAAAGAAAGAAATCGAAAGGCTGGTACAATTTTTGCCGTTAATGTGAGTAACGTTGCGGCTGTTGCGGAAAGACAAGGCAGCTATTGCAGACTGTGAGGCATCGTGCAAAAAATTTACCGGGTCAAAGAAGAGACGATTTCATGAAATTGACGAGGCAGTTTTCTGGTTCTCTCAAGAAAAACGGAAGGAGAGACTAAAAAATTTTTAATGCTAGCAAAAGTTGGACAAACTACAATTTCCCAAAAGCTCCTAATGATTTTCAAAAAAATTTCAATTTGTTTCAAACTGTGAATGCCGACGAAATGGCAGTATATCTGGATATGCCTCCCAATTACACACTGGAAAGAAGAGGTGTGTGGGAAATTTCCTTAGAAACGAGTGGTTGCGAAAAATTGCGCATGACATTGATGCTAGCAGTAACAAATGATAGGGAAAAATTGTTGTCATTATTAATATTGAGAAAAAAAACCATTCTGAAATCCAAAAGACTTCCCGAATGACGTCTTAGTTAGGGCACAACAAAAAAGATGGATAATGGAAAAGTTGATGATGGAATGATTAAGACAAGTATGGAGTCGTAGACCAGGAACACACATGGAAAACGATCCCTGAAAACAATATTATAACATCATTTAAGAAGTTTTGTATAACCAACGCTTTGGACAGATCCGAAAATGACGTAATATGGGCAGAAAATGATACATAAAAATGTAAATATCGTTCTAAAACTCTTAATAAAGTGTTATTGTTTTCCAAATTGCAACTATACGACTGCAAATCTAATCCGCACTCGATTGTAATCCGCATTTTATTTTAGAGCATATAAAATTTGTAAAAAGGGTGCGCATTAGATTCAAGAACATACGGCAGCGGTCGGGGAACCGGGGTAAATTACCCCAAATGGGGTAAAAATGAAACTTTTGTGAGTAAAAAGTATATATTTTTAATTTGCTATGTTATAACCCTGTTAGTATTTTTTTCAACCTAAACAAATTAGTGACATATGCAGGCCACGCCATCTCACTCCCCACCACTAAGTGTTCTCGAGTTATATCTTTGCGCAATAAAGCACAGCCCCGCCTACCTGTTCAGTCCATGCCATACCATACCATCAAGATACAAATTGACGAGTCAGAGAGCAAGTTTTTACTAGTTAGTTGCTGACAAGACCACCATTTTATCATTAATCATCGATATATCGATCAAGGTAAGCCGCAATTTGAAAATTTAATTCAAGTATTTTACAATCATTATTTTCTGTCTCCCTTAAGATGGCAGCAAATAGAAAAAGAAAATACCAAGACGAATTCCTTAATTACGGTTTTACACAAATAGAAGAAAGAAGAAGAAAGATAGAAGAAATAGACAATGAAACCACAGTGTGTTGTATGTATGAAGGTACTGACTTCAGAATCTTTCAAAAAAAGTCAATTGAAGAAACATTTAGATAATTTGCAAATTTAGAAATTTTTGTTAAAAGACAAAGATTGAATAGCAACTTGTTTGGTACATTTGATCAGCGTTCAGCATCAAGGGCTAGCTTTGAAGTAGCCCGGTTAATTGCTCGAAATAAGAAACCATACACTATTGGTGAAGATTTGGTTAAACCAGCTGCTGTAAAAATGGCAGAGATTATGTGTGGTCAAAAAGAAGCGAAGAAACTGAATTCAGTGCCCTTGTCTGCGAGAATTGTGAAAGAACGAATTTCTATATTAGCAGAAAATGTGAAGGAACAGGTTATTTTCGTATTAAAACAGGCTAAATATTTTGCTATCCAGCTTGATGAGACAACTGATTTTAGTAGCAATTCACAGCTAATGGTATATGTTCGCTACAAAGATGCAGATAATTTTGAAGAGGAATTGCTGTTTTGTTCTCCTCTCGAGTTGAGATCTCGTGGAATTGATGTCTACAATAAAGTAAATGAATACTTCAATGCGCAAAGTTTAAAATGGGAAAACTGTATTTCTGTATCCTTGGATAGAGCTCCAGCTATGCTGGGTCATATTAATGGTTTTTTGGCTTTCGTAAAAAAAAAATAACCCAAATATTGAAGTTACTCACTGTATGATCCATCGCCAGGCCCTTATGGTCAAATATTTAGAACCTACACTGGGAGCCGTCATGCATGATGTCATCAAGATTGTAAATTTTATCAAGGGACGTGCACTAAACACGGCTATTTCGTGAATTATGTCAGGACGGTGAAGCTGAATATACAGACCTACTTTATTATACCGAAGTAAGGCTCTCTTACGGAAATGTACTAAATCGAGTATGGACTCTCAAAACTGAAGTCGAAATTTTTATGGTTGATCAAAAAAATATTCTCGCAGATAAGTTTAAAAACTCTTCCTGGGTTGCATATCTCACATATTTAGCGGACATTTCTGAGAGTATAAATATATTAAACAAAGAATTGCAAGGAAAGAATATTAATATCATTTCAGCGAGAGAAATTCCGTCAGCGTTTGGATTAAAGCTGCAATATTGGAGACAGAAAGTAGAACAGAACAAGATAGCTTCTTTTTCAAGGTTAGCTTCGTTTTTGGAAGATTGCGAAAATATTACTTTTGCTGACATCAAGGATACAATTGTAAGACATCTTATCAAACTCAGAAAGCGGGTTTCAGATTACTTTCCAGATCTTGATACACGTACTGTCAGTTGGATTGTAGATCCTTTTAAATGTGAAATTGCTATGATACCAGAAGAACCTTCAGGTTTGGCAGAAGCAATTCTTGAACTTCGATCTAATACTGAAGCACGTATTCAATTTGAGAGTAAACCAAATCTGTCGTCTTTTTGGATGTCAAAAGCTGCAAAGGCTTTCAAAATTGCACATGAAGAGGCGGTTAAAAAATTGTTGCCATTTGGAACAACATATTTGTGCGAACAAGGTTTTTCCACTCTAATGAACATAAAAACGAAGAACAGAAATCGATTAAACGCCGAAGACTGTATTCAAATCCTCTTACATCAAAAAGTCCCAATTTTGAAGCAATTATATCGAACATGAAATAACATCATTTCTCCAAAACGTGAAAAAAGAATGTTTTCAATTATTCTTTTTTTTCTAATTTTTGTTTGTACCACCACTATTATTATTATTATAATTTGTTACAGTACCCAAAATTGTCAACCCTCAATTGTACCCCAATGGGTTTCAATTTGTTATATACAGTTGAGAAAAAAAAAATTCGCCCCCACAGAAAATATAAGTAAATGATAATTTCTTGTTATTTTATAATTCATATGATATTTTTCTTGTATTAATAGACGAAAAAACAAACATTGATAAATTGAATAAATGATGTTTAAATTAAATTTTTAGTTATTGTTTTCTTTTCAAAATTATCATGGGGGCTATAATATGAAAGATGCTAAAAAGAGGCGATTTCGTTTTTTTTGCTCTTCGCCATGGATAATATCAACTCACACAAAAATATTTTGGGGTAATGATTAAAAAAGTTCCCCGACCGCTAACATATGGTATACACCAAAAAATTGCAAAAAAATTAAATCTTTAGACCCGTTTCAGCGATTTTTTCATAAATTGTTTATAATAATTTTATCGAATTTATCCGTTACTTTTGAAACGCAATAAATTATTATTATTATACATAATATAAAAAAAAAATTACCATAAATAACTCTTGTAAACAAGAATAATAAATTTGATAAATAGCTTGTGGTGATGGTAATCCCAGATATTGTTTTATATCGGCTCGATCTATAAAAGCGATGTCAATAGCGCCAGTTATATTTGATGTTGCTAATACCACAACATTTGGATAACGTCTTATTTGATCTATTTGAGTTAAAATTGCGTTTACAACTCTTATTGAATCCGATGGTTCATTTCCTGACATGCATTGTTCTCGTGCGTGAGCTAAAGATTCTATTTCATCAAATAAAACGCAAACTAAAGTTTTGTTGTCCTCCACGACTTCTTTTATACGCGTAAACATTTTTGTTACTAATTTTCCACTCTAAAAAGAAATTTTAACACAACAATTTACAATTTTAACACTTTTTTTGATTACCTCAGAAAACCACTTTGAAAATAAACTATGACTATTAACCTCGATTAAAACATTGTGTTTATATCTCATACGAATACTTAATTTTTGTGCTAAAGCTTTGCACAGTGAGGTTTTTCCAGTTCCAGGTGGACCATGTAATAAAATCACTCGATTACATGTTACAATATTTGTATCTACACCTTTTTTAGAAAATTCCATTATCGTCGCGGCATATTTCAACAACTAAAACATATTTTTATAATTTTTATGTCAACTAAAAGTATTTAAATCTTTACCATATCTTTAATTTGAGAATCGTATATTAAATTATCCCATAAATTTAATAAATCTGTCGATGGTAAAGTTAGATGTGTAGCCAAATTAATCGTTTCATCATCGGAATTACAAACTGAATCCATTTGTGGTTCAGTATTATGTAAAGTGTACACATACCAATTTATACGAACCTCAGTAAGATTTATATAATCTTCAGACTAAAAACAACGGTAATAATCATTATTGTAACGTTATTTAACTTTATATTTACATCTGTATCTTCAATTAAGATATAATCAACTTCCTGGTTTAAAACTCGATCGCTAAATTTTGAAATAACCATTCCCGATTTGAATTTTTGGGTGATCAAATACGAAAAACATGTGGTGATGATTTGAGCCTCCGTTATGGTGCTGAAAGTAAAACAACTGTAATATCAAACTCAAAAGGAATTAATAAGATTTACCTGCAGCTTTTTAACGCTACTTCTATGTTTAACGTAATCATTTTAAATAATTTATTTCTTATTACAACTTTTTCTTATTTCCTAAGTAAATTTTCCGGTAAAACTTTCAAATTCACTTTTGACAGTTGACAGAACAACATTTGTTGTAGTGCATGCTGGGAATTTCTCTTTGCTTTGATTAAAATTATATTGAAAAGTTTAATTTTTTAATTAATTAAATTAATTCATCGTGATGAATTATTTTATTATATAAACATAAATAAATTAGATCATTTTTTTTAAATACTGTTTATTACATATAATAAGAATGGTTAGTTTGTGTTAATATGGTTGCATAATTAAATCTAATGAATATGTAAATTGTTAATAATAATGCAAAGAATAATAATTACACAAAGACTTAAATGAAGCAATGCGATTTTTCCAATTATATCATTGGATATGTTGTGTTCTTGTTAAATGAAATGTGTTGTGGATATGTTTTGAAAAAGATTCGATGTGCTTTCGTTATTACAGTTTATTATATGCAACCCACTATACAGCCTTTTTAATTTATATTACCAACCAACTTAATTTAACTTATTTATAAACAAACAAAAGTATAGTGTTATATTTGTATTCGATTTGTTTTAATATAGATAACCAACTGTACATTTCGTATAAACCTTAAGGTCACCGTTCAATGGCCATTTTTATATGGGCCCATACAGGCCGATAGAGGTTACTTTCTAACACATTTATGACTTTCTGCCAAATTATTACAGAAAAGTAAATACACAGGATTGAAGTATAGTTCATAGTAGTGAATGACATAATTTATTTTGTAAAATAGTTGTTATATTAACAATAATAAATTACTGAACTTTGTCATAAAAAGGGTGTAATAAAAACTGACTTTTATGACAAATTAAGCACTTAAACGAGATGACAATGCTTCATTCACTAGATGAGTAATATAAGAAGAGATTCCGTGACAGTGCAAGTATAATAGATTTGTTGTTATCTCAGGATTGTGTTTTATATAAAAATGTGCAATTTTCACGTAATTATTGAAATATGTAAGGGAATCTGCTGAACAATCTAACTTTGGTATTTTGGCAATCGTCTTATAGATGGCGAAATTTAAAGAATAAAATATTGCTTTATTATTTTAACTTTGAACAGTTTCGTGATGTATTGAATGTTGTGGGATTGTTAATAGATTTTATCTACGACTGCTTGGATAAGTCATCATTACCGCACTCATTTGAGGTGATTTGAGTTACGTAATGAAGTTCATTACCGCACTGGTTTCATTACGTAACGCATTTTTAGCCTAATCAGAATAGACTTAATTTATTGAAACGAGCAACAATACAAAAGAAAAAGTGCTATCTACTTACAGAGAAACAATACTATTTATTATAAACATTAATTGTTATGTTTTTACATTTCAAAACACTTATTTCACATGAGTAAACATGTTGTTGAAACTGACAATTCAAAATTGTCAACAATCATTTCAAATAGTATATTATTATATGCGAGTAGAATACTATACTTTGTCCACGACTATTGAAATTGATTCCATAAATTTATTTAAATACATTTTTGAATAAAGGTTAAACGTCAATGTGACACAAATTCAATGTTACTAACTGTAACCAACTTCACAACAATTTGTCAAAATCAAATGTCAGTTTTATAAAACGTCGTTTTCTTTACGAAAATTAATTAATTTATGCTTAAATCATACGAAAAAAGGAATTTGTTTAGGTTTTTTAATGTCAAACATTTAGAAACTCCTAAAAAATTGAATTAAATTGACGTTTTTTGAACTTTTAACGTTTCAAATAATTATTATTAGTCTGGTCAAGACGGCTACCCGTGGATAATGATTATTATTCACCGCTATTATTCACTCCGTGAAGAATGACTACCATTTTGTTTTAGAAAACTCATTCATAAGGTATATATTATAAGGTAGTCGTGGACAAATATTTTTATAAATGTGAAATAGACTTTTCTAAAGAAATTTTTTTTAGTTATTTTTAGCAGTCGTAGATAAAATGCTGTATATCACACGTGGGCTAGAGCATAATTACAGTACTCGTGTCTACGACCTCGGTCTACGACCTCGTCGTGCAATTCTCCACACTCGTGCTGTAATTATGTTTCTCGCCCACTTGTAATATAAATAACTATTATTTTCCCAACATAATTAATAAAACATTTAATCAAAATTAAATTAGTCAAGCAGTTTTATACACGTGTGTCTTCTATGAGTTTATTGAAAGGAATGAATAATCTTATATAATAACAAATTTTTGTTGCCAAGATATATTTTTAAAAAACAAGGTCCCTAAATCTTTTTGTTTGACGAAGGAAAAATATATCGTGGCATCTTGGATTTAGGAAATGGATTTTGTAGATATGACGCTACAAATACTCCCCCTTCCAAGAAGAAATAAGGTTAACAATGAAATGTAAATCAAGTAGTTATAAATATTTCAATTTTGAAAACGTATTCTTAAAGATTTATTTGGAATTGAATTTTGATTAGAAGCAATTTCAAGTTTATCGTTAGCTATAAATGCTGGTGGTAATCGATCAATATTAACTGATAACACTAGTCTACAAGAAAAAATTCATAAAATATACATTTGACGCCACTGTATTTTTCTTATGTAGTTTGGCCCCCTAAACCCAGAAATGCTATTCATCAAATTAAAGACTATTGTGTAGCCAATAAATGGTATTAATACTTATTCCAATCGGTTCGGTAGTTTTAAAACAACGGTCCATAATATGTGGAAAAGGGATATTTTTTGGACAAAATGTGAACCAAAAATTTATTCAATATCCGTGGGGAGTCGCAGAAAAATTCTTTTTTACCTTCTACGTAAAGTTTGCTCTTTTTAGAAGACAACAAGACACGCAGTAGATAGTGAACTTCATTATCACTAAATATTTAGTGCTAGTGAAAAAAAAATTACATTACCGCTAAATCTTTAGTGATAGTGAAAAAATATTGCACTACCACTAAATATTTAATGATAGTGAAAACCTTTAGTGATAATTAACATTATTATTCATTGTCAGTAACATAACACTGATGAAGAATAAAAGTAAGACTATTAAAGCTGAAGCAGTATAAAGAAATTTATTCAAAATAAACCATATTTTTGAGTAGACACTTCTAATTATGCCGTACCAAAGGTAGGAAAACATAATTCATTTTTTATTTGCTTTTTTTAATACCAACATTTCAAAATTACGGTCTGCAAGATTTTGCCTTGTCGATCGATTGATAATTCCAGCAAAGGAAAAAAGTCTTTCCACTGGCGCAGAGGAAGGAAGAGGCGTGTTGTATTTTAAAAACATTTTTTTTATAATAGGAAACCGGTGCAAAGCATCAATGCTTCTATCATCGTCATTCAAGTACAAAATTACTTCGGTTGCTATAGCTCCGCCATGGGAGTCTACATATTGATTTTCATCTAAAAAAAAGAAGTTATTTACAAAAATTTCGTAGGTTGGTTTCTTTTAATCGAATACCTGTGGACTCGTCTTCAAATTCGAGAAATGATGTATTAGCACTTATGGAAGGCTGTAAATTATTTTCTTCCCCTACCGGTTGTCTTTTAAACTGCAGCGCATAGTCTTTAACTTTATCTCGAACATCATCTAGTGTGTATGACTCAGCACTTTCCAGCAAGACTTTACAAAATTTTAATTTGATATCGGGACAGAGTGCAACCGAAAATATTTTTCAAACCTCTCCAGTAACTTTAATTGCATTTGAATATTAATTTCCGTAAGAAATTTCAAGTTTTCGGAAGTTAAACGTCGCATTTTTATTTTGATGGACACTAAAGTGTGAATGAAATAGCCAAAGAACATATTTTGTTCTCTTTGAAGGAAGTCGATAGCTTCTGCGATAGGTTGCATTATTCTTGCATATTCTTCCAAATATTCAATTTCTTCCTCATTAAAAGTAGAAATTTCCAGCTTGTAGCATAGTTCACCTAATTTGGTTTTGACTTCTATTAGCTTCTGAACCGAATCATACAGTGAGTTCCATCTTGTAACGCAAGGCGTAACCAGATACGAAGATAAAACTGTTTTTATTATTTCCGCAGATTTTGGCCTATTACATTTATTCCATAGTTTTGTACACCTGTGTTAAGTAAAATGTAAAAAGTTAATACACATATAATAAGGGTACTTATCAAAATAGCTGATTGAGGGCTGCACAGCACACTGCACAAATTTGCGTGACAAAATTGACCCGCAAAGTTGCCCTTTTGTGCAAAAGACTTTCCATACAAATTTTGATATTTCATTTGCGAGGGTTTAAAATTGAACAGTTTGTCCAGTTTTCGAGAGTTTTGCACCTTTAAATGAGCACCCTTAATAAATTTAACCTCGAATTTTTATTTCAAACCTGTTGAAAGTAGCTTTATGAATGCTATGAACTGCCTGATTTGTTGAGCTATCTAATATTTTTAAAAAATCGGTAGTGGCCAAAAGGTTGAGCGTATGGTTAGCACATCGACAATGCTTTGACAAAATTGGCGTATAATTGTGAAACTCAGGGCTGGAGTATTCTGACTGGTGATCATCGTCGGACCTATCATCATTGTCGCTCTCATTTTCACCTTTTTTCTCTAAAATAATAATTTATTAATGCTTAACTTTTTTACAAGATTTTACAAGATGTTACTCAGAACAACTCCAAATTCTCTAAATGCCTTGACGAAATTTGATCCATTGTGGGTTATGGTATATAGTATTTTGCCGACTGATACATTGTACTGTCCATTGATGTCGCGAATGATATCTGTTATTCGATCAAAAGAATCTATACCTTTAAACCTGCAGCATGCTAAGGCTGCAGACTTTCTTTCTAAGGTATCTGCCTCTAGCCAGTGGCATGTGTACCCAAAAAACGCTCTTTTTCCTCCAGACCAAATATCAGCTGTTGCACATATAAATTCAATTTTGGCCACATCTGCTGACAACTTTTGTTTGAACTCCGCGTGGCTCTCGGAAAGCATTCTGGTTATTGTACGTCTACTGGGGATCCTTCTTTCGGGGAGCAATTTTAAGAAACTAGGATGCTCGATAATAGAGAATGGAGAGCACGTTTCGCAAATAAAAGAAAGAAGATCTCGATGAGGTGCAGATCTAGCACGCAAACTTTTTCTGGTTTCAGATCTTTTCTTTTGAAAATCATTAAATGTGCTTGGATGTTTTTCGTGTAAGTGGTGTATAAAGTTAGAGATTACGCGTAGCGAACCTTTAACTTTCTTAAGGCATACTTGACAAATAGCGATTATACCTACCATTTTCGTTTGGTATGGAGTCGAAGCTCTCTATTAAATAAACATTGTGATGAATATATATATATATATCTGTATATTTTGAATTGCAAGTATTGTACTTAAAAAATACCTGCTCCACTATTTTGAAAAATTCTCCATTAAAAAGAATTTCATTCCCGCCAGAAAGTTGCTTTTGATGAAATTCATCAGTACTCCCATTATCACTGATAGTACGTACACACCTGGTAGTTTCCGTTGTTTCATTAATTCGAATTTATTTACTCGAACGAGGTTGGGGTTCGAAAGTGGGATCAGCCAATGAATCGTCACTTCCAAAATCTATTTCATTATCACTCATTTTATAAAATATAATTTTTGTCCACTACAAAATTGAAGCACTTTGAACACTACAATATTTTACTAAAAAACACGAGCGGCACTGAACCAAAAATAGTACTTGTTCACCTATTTACTCACTTAAATACATCCATAGTAACTAAAAGCATAGACAGACGGCAACGTTGATCCGGATTAATGGCGCAGTTGATCTGATCAAAATTGTGCCGCGAAGTTGTCGGTTCGAGTCCTGCTGCCAGTAGAATTTTAATTCAATTTTTTTTATTCATTCAAGTATAACTTCTATATTTTTTAATGTTGTTTTTGGTTAGTTGTTAACTTAATCCGGATGAACTGCAGCTAACTCCCGAGATAAATCCGAATTAACGAGTTAATCCGGATCAACGCTGCCGCCTGCCTATCTATACTCATTACTATTGAGCTGCATTGCAATTTGGAGAGTGCCAAATAAATGAGTCTGCTGTCGACACCCAGAAGTCGTGATTTATTTCGCTAGATTGGCTTAATGTCATCGATTAGTTACACGTCTATACATCAAGAAGCATTTTTATCAACAAACTAGTTGATAACTAATATCGAACAAAATATAAATTCAAATGTATTTAGTTAAAGATCATGTTTCACTAAAAGTTTAGTGATAGTTTGCATTTTTTTCACTATCACTAAAGGTTTAGTGATAATGCAATTTCTTTTTCACTATCACTAAATTTTCTGTGGTAATGGTTTTGCATTTTAACTGCCACTGAATAAACAGTGGTAGTGCAATTTAGTGGTTGTGCAAAAATGCCCAACCCTGGATCAGGGTTGCCATGTCTAGGGATTTATTCCGAATCTAGGGATTTTTATACGCGTCGAAAAATATTTAATTTTTTACAGTAATTGATCTAGTTACAGGTGCAAATACTTCATCATAATCAATTCCGTATTTTTGTGAACAACCTTGTGCTACTAATCGTGCTCCGAAACGTTCTTTAACTCCACTTTCGTTAGTTTTACGTTTATACACCCATTTTGTACCAATAGCTGTTTTTCCTTTTGGCAATTCCATTAAAATCCATGTGTTATTTTTCTGAAAAGCTGCCAATTCCTCATTCATAGCCTGTACCCATTTATCTTTATCCTTTGAATTTATCGCTTCTTCGTAGGTTTTTGGATCATCTTCGAATATATTTTGTGCATAATTTACACTTTCAATAAATCTCTTAGGTGGAATACCTCTATTTTTCCTTGTTGGGTATCAATGTTCCTCTTCGGTTTGTTGTTTTTCTTTACCCCTTCATTCAAATTTTTTTGAAAGGTTCTTGTAGATCTTCATTATTCCAGATTTATCATAATTATTCATATATCATTATTATTCTTTTCATACAAGGTTTTTCAACGTTTATCTTTGGTTTATTACATTTTTCGTCGGCTAAAATTATATTTCTTGTAATCTTTACGTTTCTGTTATTAACAAGTATTCTGTAACCCTTCAAAAGCCATAAAGTTGTTTAATTATTCAAGAAAGTCCATCAGGTTATGGGCCCAGATCGCGGGTTATAAAGATTGAAATACTTACATACCTAATATAATATATAATAAGGAGATATAACAGAAAGATATCAAGATGGAAAGCGGAAAGCATATGGGTCAAATAAAGCTATTATCTAACAACAATTATCAGACATGGAAATTTCGAGTTGAGATGTTGTTAATTCGGGAAAATCTTTGGGAAGTTGTGATAAATGAACCACCAACTCCAAAAGAAGATATGTGGGACCTTACAGATAAAAAGGCTCGAGCAACAATTGGATTATTAGTGGATGATACACAACTGAAGCTTATAAAAGGGAAAACAACGGCGAAAGAAATGTGGTTGTCATTAAAAAACTTCCATGAAAAGTCTACATTAAGAGTGACAACCAGACTACTCAAAAAGTTATGTAAAAGGGAACTCTCAGAAGGTGGTGACATGGAGATTCACTTAAGGGAAATGGAGGAACTACTAGAGCAATTAACAACTGCTGGACATATTTTTCCTGAAGAAATGATTGTTATATTTTATTTACAAAGTTTGCCAGCTGGTTATGATCATCTTATAATTGCATTAGAAAACAGAACGGACACGTTGACAGCGGAATTTGTGAAACAAAGACTTCTGGAAGAGTATGAAAAACGAAAAAATCGGGACGTCGACGAAGCTTCAAAGGCCATGAAGACACTGCAGTATTCTAGAGGTATAGAGAAGAAAAATATTGAATGTTTCTTTTGCAAGAAAAAAGGACACATGAAGAAAGAATGTCAAAAGTATATAACTTGGTTGAAGAAACACAAAGCCAAGATAGCAGAAGACAAGAAAGAAAATTCAGACAATGAAAAGGAAGAGTATTTGAGTTATATAGCGAAGGAAAATACCATAATTCATCATTGCAATAAATCCAACACTATAACAGGACAGCGAGACGACCAAATGTGGTACATAGATTCTGGAGCAACGGCCCACATGTGTAACAATCCAAAATTATTAGAACATATTAATAAAAACGGTGCCACAGTAGTTAGTGTAGCAGACGGTCGTAAGTTAAATGTCAGGGGTACAGGTACGTGCGTTATTAGAAGCATTGCTAATGATAGTAGTAATATGGTTATAAAATTAAACAATGTTTTATATGTACCGAATTTAGATAGCAATTTAATTTCAGTTAGTAATCTAGTAAGTAAAGGGTTAGAAGTTATATTTAATGAAAAGGGAGGTTTTGTTAAATGTAAGGATAATATAATAATGAAATTTAATAAGTTAGGTAAACTATTTGTGTTAAATTTTGGTGAAAAAACATATAAAATGTCATTGCCAATAATTAAAAGATGCGTACATGAATGGCATAAGGTTTTAACCCACCGAAATTTAACTGATATAAAGAAATTACAGTTATTATATCCTGAAAAGATTAATATTACAAATTGTAACTGTTCAGATTTATGTGAAGAATGTTTAAGAGCAAAGATGACGCGACAGCTATTTATTAAAAGTAATAAAACCGAAAAAACAAATCCGATAGATTTACTTCATTCAGACGTTTGTGGTCCAATAGAAGTTGTAACGAATCAAGGTTATAAATACATACTCAGTTTAATTGATGATTGTACAGACTATACAACTGTTTACTTAATAAAGGAAAAGAGTGATGTAGCAAACATAATTAAAGAACATATTAGTATGTTGGAAAATATATTTAACAGAAAACCAAAAATAATACGAAGTGATAGAGGCGGAGAATATATGTCTAAAGATCTGAAACATTATTTTAGACAACAAGGAATTTTACATCAGACATCTTGTCCTCGAACACCTCAACAGAACGGTAAAGCAGAAAGAAAGAATAGAACCTTAATGGAAGCTGTTAGATGCTTACTTATTCAATCAAAGTTAAATAAGTGTTATTGGGGTGAAGCAGTTAAAACTGCTTGTTATATTTTGAACTAAATAGAATAATTAAACGTCTTTATGGCTTTTGCGGGAATTTGATTTTTGCCAATTTTAAAGCAGAATCTTGTATATGACAAAGTCATAAACAACAACAACAACTTTCTTTATATCACTATGCTTACAACATGTAAATTGTCAATTGGTAAAGTGATCTAAATATTTATTATAAAATAAACGTTGATCAAAATAATTATCAGTAGTAATAACCCAAGAACGTTGATAATCGAAAAAATTTTATAACAGATTTCGAAAGCGTGTTGCTTGGAAACAGACCGACGCACTATGGAAAATTTAGTCCATTTGCTGATCAAAAATCAATAACTTTCTTGTTTTTAAAGATAAACGTTTCAAACTTGGTACGAACATTCTACATTACAGGAAGTAAGAGTACCAATTTTCTTTTTATTATTATTTGTTATTATTTATTATTATTTTTATTTCCTCGTATATAGGAACTATATGAAGGCAAACTACCCTTTCGAGGTTGTGATGAATCTTTACATTTGATGGTCCTAGAATCTATTTTGACTATTTTAGCATTACATCTGTACATATGCATGTGTTAGTATATAGTATGTATTATATACGTGCGTTCGTAAACACGACAACTCAAAGACTTAATTATCTACTTCGATGAAATTCGGTATGCGGTTATTAAATTAACACTGTTGATCTCTACTAACTTTTGGGACAAATCGGTCGACCGGAAGTAGCAGTTTACTTTAACAGATTTTGAAACTGTTTCATATAAACTTGCAAATAGAGATTAACAAATAAAACTTTGTAAAAATCTGACTAAGTATGAATAACTGTCAGATACAAAATGTCTACCACCTCACATAACCGGAAGTAGTACTTTACCTGAACCTGTACCCATTTGTTTCATATAAACTGGTATTTAGTAAAATAAATAGTTAAAATTTTTTATAAGCCTTTATATCTTTGAAAAACGTGTAGATAAAAAATTTCATTGAAATCATGAAACCGGAAGTAGTATTTTGCTTAACAAATCACCGCCACATGCGATTTTGCATATGGGAGTTAAAATAGAGAAAATTCAACAGTTCTTTTGAATTTAGTGCCCGTTTAAAGGTATTTTTCCAAAAATTTATTATTCAGTCGCATAAAAATTTTAGAAAGTCGAGTGTAGAGCACTCTAGTTTTGTTATTACAATGGAGTTTAAGAAAAAAAAATACAAAAACTGCATTATTGGTTGATTATTGGATGAACTGTATCTTTTTATGTCTTTCATTTAATGCAACCTCTTAAAAACAGAGTTAAAATATGTTAAACAATTTTAATTATAGGTATATAATAATTATAGTAGTATACACAATTATATGTATATTTTATTCCTTTTTATGAGTATTACCGATATTACAGAGTAATATTGTTTTTGAAAAAACCCTAACAGATTACAATCTCTATCTGAGATATAAATATTATAATACAATGTATAATAATGTTTAACTCGTTCACTATTCCATCATTGCCTGACACTGTTCAACTTGTTCAAGTTTCAGAAACCAGGTGATGCTGTGTTAAAAGAGCTAGGGTTTCTTCGCCAAGTTTCTTTACATTTTTAATGCACTGCTTTCTAATATTCGTTATGTATGGATCTGATTGATGTATAAAGGAGTGTATGAAATTACATCTTCGTTTGTAGCATATCTAGAACATTTTCGTGCATGATGTAGTCTACATTTTTTGTAATCTTTATTTCGAGATTCCTGTGCATCTTCTCGTAGCTGTCCAATAGGTAAAATTGCAAAATGTCGTATAATACGTTCACTATGAATTAATATTTTATGTACGGAAGATGGCATGTAATACCAGTCATAATTTTTTTCTATTCGTTTCTATCGCATATTCTCCAAATTTTTCTATATCTACCATAACACCGCCTGAAGAATTATATAAAATCGCTTAATCAATATTTCGTCGACACCGGTAATTTCTGCTGAAGAAGAAGCATTACAAAAGAATCTTCTAGCAGTATTACCATCGTTTGTATTACCACTTATTTCACGAAAAAATAAATCCCGACTTTCGGAAAACCCATTTATGATCGACAAGCGACTCAAATTTTCCATATGTGCGACGCCGTAGGCGGAGGTCTGTTGCCTATAAGCAACACGCTTGAGGAAGTTGTTCTAAAATTTTTGAGGATTTATTAATGTTCGAGGGTTATTCGGATAGAACATTTTTTGCTACTTAATTTTGCGGATAGTAAACAAAGTAAAGTCTTTATTTAAAAGTAACATTTAAATCGTGACATTTCGAAATTATTAAATTTTAGAAACGTCAAAATTGAAATAAATCAAATATATTCATAGCAACGTACATAACTACGTGATAACAGCCCATGAACTGTTTTCTGTATAATGTTGTTCTGGTTGGTTCTCTTCAATCAAATGATCTATTATAAAATTAACTAATATCATTGGATTTCTACTTAAGCAAAAAATTTTCAACTAAATTATTCTAACAAAAACCAGTAGTTGTATTACTGAGAATCAACATCATCGCTCTGGACCACTCCACATACATCTCACATAGAAGCTTCCTCTGACAGTTTTAAGCTTGAGCTTAACCGATACCGCTTTTCTACTCACCATGTAGAATTGTATAAAGAACAATTCCGAAATTTAAAATATTTGCTGGTCTATTTTAGCGTTAAAGACAATTCTTCGGCTACTGTTAGAGGTTCTTTAAAATACCTTTGAAATTATTGCCAAAGAGGTGACTCTTGGTCAAACTATTGAAACTGAACTCTTTATTTTTCCGATTTGTGACCGTCACTTACTTGTTTTCTTAATTTCGTATATTCCATCAGTATAAACTCTTCTTCCTGGTCATCAACCATAATTTATTTCAATAACACCGCGACCATTAACTTCCTTTTACACGAAAATTCCTTAAATTAGCAACACATTTGAGAAATATGGTTGCATAAACAAACACATTTCATTCTATTATAAGTTTTTTTTACAAAAGATCATTAAAAGAGAAAATTATAACAATAATAAACATAAATAAACAAATAAATATTAACCGTATTTAATACTTGTACTGCACTATCTGTCAACTGTTTAAAAACGTATTTTCCTTCTACTGCTGGCATAAGATCTTTAATTACCTTAAAATATTCAATAATAGCTTCGACGTCCGTTACTTCAAGTGGAGTAATTAATTTAGCATTATTCTGAATTATCGAATATCGATCACCACCCTTAACTAAATACTCCGTAGTTATAAAGTTATACAAGGCGTCCATTTTTATTGGGACGTATGTAGGCGTGTTGTGCTCATCGATACTTCTTATCAACACCGAATTGATGGTTGGTGTGAGAGCTGGGATGTCATTAAAGATTATTTTCAATCCAGCTGTAATTAGAAAACCTCCTTTATCGTACGATTGAGCACTCTGTTGCAAAACTTTCAGAAAATCTTTGCCGGTCATTTTAACAATGTATAAGGGATGGCGATACGGAAAAGATGCATAAATGTCGCCTTTTGTCACATTTGTATTGTATATGTTGGTAATAACAGGCACTCTTATAGCACCAGAATTGAATAAAGCAACAGCAGTATCAGTCCAATCTTTACCTTTATAACGAACCATACGGTATCGTATAAAAGCATCAACGGCTAAATTGCCATAATTGCATTCAAATTTACGACACTCAATATCAAGATCAACTAAACATTGTCCTATATTAGAACTACTCAACTCCACTACTTCGGGGCGAAATTTATCTAAAAGCGACAAAATCTTTTCATCTTGAGGAACCATTTCGTTCAAAAAAATGGGTTCTCCATCGCTGTATGTAACCGTTCCATTTGCGTCAAATGTGAGGTTAAAATCTCCGATGTATTTGGTGTAACCATAAGTATGAACTACAGGAACCAATTTTCCGTGTTTTTGAGAAACTCTTCTTGGGTAACCATCAAGTGGTTCTTCACTACTTGGTCCAATACCGTTATATAGAAATGTATGACGGTGACCACAAATCACAGCATCAATGTCTTCCACGAATTTACCTATTCGTTTGCCTAAAGTAATACGTCATAATTTATCATTTCAAAAAAAGTACGAACAACTTTCATACACATTCGAAAACCTGTATGCCCAAGCGCTATAATAATCTTAATTCCTTGTTCTGTTAGTTTTTTACATTCTTTAGTAACCGCGCTAAGTTCATCGGTAACTTTTAGTGTCTTTAAGTTGGTCATATGACTGGTGAACTTGGCCAAAAACCCCACAATTCCGATTTTTGTCCCATTTATAGTTAATATAACTGACGGTTTTATCAGTGATTCAAGCTCAGTTTCATTATTGTACACCAAATTTGATACTACTAAAGGAAATGTTACATTTCTCGCAAATTTGAGTAGCCCTGAAATTCCATAATCGAATTCATGATTTCCTAAACACTACAAATTAAGAAATAAATGTAACAATTGAATTCAACTATCGTTTAAAATACCATCACGTCTGGCTTTAAAGCATTCATAAATGTTGTGGTAATTGTATCTCTGTGTACCGCAGTCCAAACAGTTCCAACAGATACATCTCCCACATCCACATACAACGTGTTAGCGTCATCTTCCGACTTGAGATTTCTTATTTTATTAACAATGTAAGCGATTCTAGCTACCCCACCGTACGTAATATTCTGATTAACATTACTCTTATCTGTTTGTTCTTCAAAGTGGCCTTTTATATTACTAGTATGCAAAATACGTAAAATAAGCGGGTTTCCTTCGGATATTGTTGAATTAATTTCTTCATCCTCGTTAGTTGTCGAATTAAGATCGTTTTCTTCAGGTAATGTTGTGTTATTGAATGGTAACACATTACTACTGATGAGTAGCAATAAAATAAAATAAATCAGTAAAAATGATGGTGTAATTTTTGACGTTTTCATTGATGTACACTTTTACATCACGTTATGGTTACCGTTGACATAAGATCAAAACAATTTCGGTCATCTGTGAAAGTATGTCTGATGCCTAGATCACCAACTTCATGCTTCTATCTTATAATATTATATTTAATGTCTATGCGCTTTATACAATTATGAAATTCTTCATTATTTTTAAAATATGTAATATATGTAGTGTTAATAAAGTTGCAATTTTTAGAGAGTGTGAAGTAGTTAGGCTACCCATTTTGGCCAAGAACAGATGCCATAGCGAAAAGTGGCTAGAAAAGTCGTCACTTACACATCCGTGGACCAGGCAATTCAAACGTTTAAGCCGTTCAAATCGCCTGGAGAAGACAATATCTTTCCTGGTTTGTTACAGCAGGGGAGGTCGTTGTTGTTGCCAATTTTGGGAAAAATTTTCAGAGCGAGTGTCGCCTGGAAATATGTGCCGGCAGAATGGACTAAGGTACAGGTTTAGAGAGTTGAGATTCGATATTCATCGTAAGGTTATAAATTAAATTACCCTGGGGTTGTATATACGACGAAAAATAGTTTATTTAAACTGGCAAATCGGTACTACAGCTGTTTCGGTTTTACAATTAAACCTTCCTCAGGCACGACTGAAAGAGTTTACAATATAGAAAATATAACATGTTTACAGAAGCTAAATCTAATTACCGTCAATATTGAAGAGCAAACAATAGGGGAAACAAATCGGAGGTACACCAAGCGACTTGAGGAGCTAAATCCATTTTCTTATTTTATATTATTTTATATATATAAAAAGTTAAAAAGCCATATGGCTGCGTTACAATTTAGGGAAACTGCTTGAAGAGCGTGTTTGTTCCCTAAAAACCTGTTTATTTGAAGGTTAACTGTAAAAATGCGTAATTAGTTGAAAATATTAGAAAATTAGTGAAATTTACCTATTTTTCGTTGTAAAAGATTATGATTCAACAAAATATCGCAAGGAAACACAAAAGTTAATGTTATTAACAAAAATAACAAAAATTAACAAAATAAGAAATTCAAAGAGTACGATCTGGCGTGAAGCGCTAAGACGACTAACGGATTTTTTAAGAAAGGATAACCCCTTTCTTAAAAAATCTGTTTAAGTTGGATAGTCGCAAAAGACGTCGGCGCATGCGTGGCAAGGTGGTATTTTTCCTATGAAAGTTACATTATAAAAGCAGAGAAATATTATAAAAAATGAACATTAGCAACATCTGAAATTTATTCTAAAACTATCTATGCAAAGGGTAAAGCGATGGATCAGGTACAAGCAACTACAAATATTTGAGGAAGAGCCTATGATTGTTGAAATCGGTAATATCGTTAAGTAAATTGTTATTTATGTTATTGATATGAATGTAATATTCTTCATACAAATCCAGTTCTTTAGATTTATTAGCTTGTTTAAGGATTTTCACATTGTTGAAGGAGGTGTTATGATTTTCAGATTTTAAATGTTTATATATGGCTGAGCTTTCCTTATTCATGTGCTCCCTGAACCTGACCATCAAATTACGGCCAGTTTGACCTACATAGAGCTTGTCAAAGTCGGAGCAGGCAACACTATAGACTCCACTCATCGCACCGAGGGCAATCTTGGGTTTAGTATTATTCAAAATTTGACCAATTTTTTGATCAGAGATAAAAACGGGGTTGATATTAAATTCTTTCAGACCTTGACCAGATACTTGGTACAGGTATCTTACATACTCAACGTTCGGTCCCTACTTCTAATGCCTTTCGACCCATCAGCTTAACGTCATTTCTGCTGAAAACCCTTGAAAAAGTTCTGGAACGGTATATCCGTACGGTGCCATTGGTATCTGGTCCACTGAGGGGTGTTATCTCCCCTGCTTTGGTCCCTTCTAGTTGACGATTTGATTGCGATATTCGAAGCCGTTAGTATGGAAATACAAGCTTATGCTGATGACATTGTCGTTATGGTTAAAGGAACCTGTTTGCCGAGGATATCTAAAGTCCTCCAGGTGACCCTAGATACCATTTGCGCTTGGTGTAAGGGAGAGAACCTCTCAATAAACCCGCAAAAGACAATTGTTGTGCCCTTCACCAGGAAGCGAAAGTTGGATGGACTAATCCGCCCAACTATCCAAGGTGAAGAAATTCCTTTTTCAAAGGAAGTCAAATATCTAGGAGTAATCCTAGACAAAACCTTGTCATGGAATGGACATTTGCAGGGAGCTTTGCACAAAGCTAGACTATCCTTGTGGACTTGTCGCAGTCTTTGTGGAAAAAATTGGGGTCTTACCCCTGAAAGACTGTACTGGCTCTATGTGACTGTGGTTAGACCTATGATCACATACGGAGCAGCAGCCTGGTATAGGAAAGTCCGACAGACTTCAGTTATCAGTAAACTTTCACGAATTCAACGAGTAGCTGGATTGGCAATCTCTGGTGCGATAGGCACAACGCCAACTCTAGCAATGGAGGTTCTGCTTGGCCTATCTCCTCTGCATTTGCATATAGAGAAAGTGGCTAGAACAACCATTTACAGATTTAAGCAATATGCTCAAAACTGTTCCGACATGTCCTACCAATGGGCTGCGGAAGACATTATAAGCACTGATACTGTGCTATCAATGCCGTCAGATTTGGCGGTATCACTATCAGTGATTAATGCTCGATACCAGATTGTACTGCCTGAGCGGCAGTCCTGGATCGAAAATGAAAATTCTCTGGTTCGGGCAGACATTTGCTTGTACACAGATGGATCAAAAACGCCTGAAGGGGTAGGAGCAGGAGTATACTGCCAGACACCTCGAATTAAGCAAGCCTACAGCCTGGGTACGTACTGTACTGTATTCCAGGCGGAAGTATTTGCTATTGACATGGGTGCTAAAATCCTTCTTGAAAGAGGGGTGAAGAACATGACAGTACGAATTTTCTCAGACAGTCAAGCCGCTCTCCAGGCGCTGCAAGCCGTGAAAACGGTGTCGGCTCTGGTTAATGATTGTAAGAGAACATTAAACACACTGAGTTGTGATAACAGAGTCTCTCTGATCTGGGTCCCGGGTCACTCTGGGGTTGCTGGCAATGAAGCGGCAGATAAGCTAGCACGAGATGGCAGCGCTGAAGCGTTTGTGGGACCGGAACCAGCAGTTGGTGTATCATTTGCGATGGCCAAATATAGGATTGGACTGTGGGCTGAAGAGAGACTTCGCCTACTGTGGACCAGTTCTCCTGGAATGAGACATGCTAAGGTGTTTATTAACATCGCCACTGTCAAACCCGGGAATATTTTAGGACTTGCCCGTAGTAGCATAAAAGTTCTAATGGGTGTTTTTACTGGGCACTGCCGATTAAAAGCACACCTCAACTTGTTGGGTTTAGCCGACGATGTTGAATGCCGACTATGTGCGGAGGAAGCAGAGACGGTTGAGCATGTTTTATGCCACTGCCCTGCCGTTAACCGTATCAGATTCTCGATTTTTGGGTCGCAGTTTATCTCCTCAAAAGATCTGAATGACCTTTCGCCGAGCAAGGTATTAATGTTCGTTAAGAGCATTGGACTGCACGGTGAAATTTGATAACGATATCTATCGGGGTACAATAGATCCTTAGATCCTTACCCGATATGTAGTCGATGCAATGTAATGTAATGTAGCCAAGAACAGTGCCTCGTTAATAATTTTTTCTGCAATAATTCTTTGCTGTTTTGGTAATTCTTGCAATTTCATGTCTACATTTCTTCCATATACTTCAAAACGATTTTCTGGTATCTTAGGACGTTTAAAATGTTCATTCACACTTTTGAGTACTTCTTCATACGTATTCTTCACTGGTTTTGAACGACCAAGTCGTCTTATTGTGTCTCTTTAGGTATCAGAACGACCTGGTGTTGGTGTGTCTCGATCGCTATCTGATTCGTTGTATTGCGACGTTGACTGCTCCTGTAAAAAAGAAACAGTTTAATGTTCCCAGACGTAAAGATTAATGATGAACCTAAATTTTTTTTTAGTTACCACAGACAAAAGATGAATGGAAAACAATAGCAAAGGAATTCCAGGAGTGATGGAACTTTCCTCACTGTTTAGGAGCCATTGATGGCAAGCACGTTGAAATCGTGCCTCCACGTAACAGTGGTTTATTTTATTACAATTACAAAAATAGACATTGTATGGTCCTCTTGGCAATAGTTGACGCAAAATACAGATTCTTATTTGATTTTGGAACAAATGATAGAGTATCTAATGGAGGAGTGGTTCAATTTTATGAATAGCTGGAAAACTACACGTTAAATATTTCTAACGAAGATAGATTAAAAATAGTTCATGAACACTTCCGTGTGTGTTCGTAGCTGACGACGCGTTTTCTCTTAGAAAAGATATGATGAAACCATTTCGGCAAAATGACTTAGACAGTAGAGCAAGGAAAATTTATAATTATCAAACATCACGAGTACGTCGCATTGTTGAAAACGTGTTTGGCATTTTAGCAGCGAGGTTCAGAATTTACAGAACAGAAATTAATATGTCACCCAAAAATATTGAAACGGTCGTAACAGGATCTTGTGTTTTGCATACTTTCTAGGACTTTTAACAACAATATCAACGCTTGAACCATTACAATGTATTCGTCAAGAAAATGCTCCCAGAACGGCAAAACAAATAAGAAGTGAATTTATTGGTTATTTTGTGAACGAAGGAAAAGTCCCCTGGCAAGATAATTTTATTTATTAATACAGGGTGTCTCAGCGAGACCGGTTATTAGACGTTTCTGGGGTTCTGGCCAAAATAAAAATATGAGAATTCATACTTAAGTATTATCAATTGCGTTCTCTTTGACTAAAATATTTTCAGATTTCTAGCACTTCCGGTTATACCGGAAGTCGCCACCTACTTTATTTTTTTAAATGGAACACCTCTATATTTTTACATATTTTGATTTGTCTGTTTTCACGGTTTATAAATAACTTTCCTTTTTGCAATTTTATTCGGCCGTTCTCGAGTTATTAAAATTTTTCTAGAAAA